TTTCTCTCTCAAATTTTCTCTTTGTCATTATGATGTACTTACTAAGGGATTTCCTCAACTTTATATTCTACCCCTTCTACTGCATCTATTTACTACTATCATATTTTTGATTCCAAGAGCACATTTTTAGTCTGAATGTTCCTTTTTTGTAGTCTTCTGTTCTTTTTTCCTGGGTATAATATATCCTCTTATCTCACATCCCTGCCTCTGCTACCTGAATTGTCCTTGTTTCCCTGATTCCTTTTTTCCTGTTGCTCTTTTGACTTCTGTCCTTAATGTTGGAAGCTTTGGGGGATGAGTCTTGTTGATCGCTGAATTTCTCTGCAAGAGTCATCTCCTAGCCTGCATTTTCATTAGGGAATCCCCAGAAGCCACAATCTGGAGGTCTTTCTGGGACCATTCAGAGTATTGAGAGAAGAATCCTATCTTCTCCTGCTGAACTGGAGGTAGAGTAGGATGGGGGAAAGGAGGAGAATTTAAGCATGGACAGTAGTGTTCTGGAAACAGGAAAGGGGAAGGAAGAGGGCTAAGAGGCCCAAGTTCAGTGTGTAATGCTCTCCTCTGCCCTCCGTTATGCTTCATCTCCCCAAGACTAGAGCTTCTTTAGTCAAATTTCTCTGGAGAACAAACCTCACTCCCCTCCAGGGAAGAGTATAGTGTAGAAGAAGATACATGGGAGTCCAGCTGCTCTTGCTTTATTCAGGCTTTCAAGCAATCCTTGTTTTCAGAACCACACCTTATCCCTGCCTTTATTGGACCTGGAGTCTGCAATCGCTGAGCCTCTCAGGAGTTTTGTAGGCCACATTGGCTAATCTCTAACTGCCCCCATGCCTCTGCCATGGACATTGACTCTGCTTCCCTTCCTCAGCTCTGCCAAGTCAGTTATCAATCCTCAGTCTGCTTTTCATCTAGCAAAAGATTTTGAAATCTCTTGTCCACTGTTGTCTTTTTTCCAGCTGTTTTTGTCATTGTAGGTTGTTACCTATTTTTATTCCTGTATTGTCATTTTGCTGAGATTTTGGTGAGAAAGGGAGATAAATATTTGTGATCTATCCATCGTGATTTACTGCAACTCTGTCCACTTCCCAAGAGCAAAGAATTCTTCCAAGAAGCATTGGCTAGTTTTAGCCCTTTTAATTGAAAGATTCTTTGTTCTTTTCTCCATTGCTCCTTTTGAGGGGATTCCCATATCCATTGATATCCTCTAAGACAGAACTGAAAATAAAAACTTGGAGTATTATACCACATTAGCTCAACTTGTCCCTGAGGGATGGCTCTGGGACTTCGGAAAGGTTAAATCTTTCAAACATTTTTTTCTCAGAAAGATCTTAAATATCATTTCTGAGCTGTATATTCTTTCGTTTATAACTTTAGATCTTTCCTGAATTGATTAGGAAATTTCCTTCCCAAATATGCTTTGAAATAGGTAAATGCTTAGATGTGTTTAGAGTCAGACATATGAGTTGGGCAGGGAAGAAGGCTGGGTGCCCAGAGGTAACAGGTAAGCATGAGTAAATATTGGACTTATTGGTAACAAGGTCTGATACTAGGACTTCCAGTGGTGACTTGCAGAAATTTTCTTGTAAGTTCCAATGCCATCATCCAGGGCAAATGCAGATTCAGGCATGGGGACGCAGTTAGATAAGAGGAACTTCAGGAAGGCCTTTCTGAGGAAGCAACGTTTGATTTGAGACTTTCCAGACAAAGGTGCAAATGCCTTGCATTTATGGAACAATCTTGCTATGCTCAGAGAACAAGAAGACTAGTGTACGTAGAACATTGTGAACAGGGAGAGAGTTTTTCAGATGAGATCAGAGAGGTCAGCAGGGGCCAGATTACATAGGGTCTTGTAAACCCTAATAAGAAGTTCAGCTTGTGTTCTGAGTGGATTGGGAAGTCATTGGAGAGTTGCAAGCAAGGAAGTCATTGATATGATCTGTGTTTTAGAAAGATCATTCTGGTGGAAGATGGTCTGCAGCGAGGTAAGAGTAGAAGCAACAAGATCAAGATACAAAGTTATTGTTGTAATCCAGATAAGAGATGATGGTGGCTTGGAATTAGTGAATAGTAGAGGAGATTGAGAAAAAGAGACTTGATATGCTATTGTACTAGAACCCCCAGGACTAGTTAGTGGATTGTATTTGAGGGGTGAAGTCTGATGTGATCCTAGATCTGTTTGGTAGTCTTTTGATTGGTTCCCAAATACTGAGATGTTACACTTTTGAAACCTCTAGGATTACGTAAGTGTGTCCTGTAATTGATGTAAAGGGAATTTACCGACAGTTAAATTCTGTACTATAGGAAAAGACAGGGAAACTTTTATTTCATTGGTGATCTCATGCAGTCTCCCAGTCTGGTGGCTTTAAATACTGTACCATCTCTATGCTAATGACTCCCATATTTCTATCTTCAACTCAGTCCTCTTCCCTAAACTTCAGACTCATATACCCAGCTGCTCACTTCCCATCAAAATGTAATATATCCAAAACACCAAACTCCTGATCTTTTCTCCCAACTTGTAGCCCCTGCATTTTCTTATCTCAGTTAGAGCAGCTTTATTTTTCTAGTTGCTCAAGCAAAACCCTTGGAGTTGTCCTGAATCCATCTTTTTCTCTCTCTCGTGCATACTATATAGAATTCTTCAGGAAGCCTACATTCAAAATATATTCAGAGCCAGCCCTGATGGCCTAGTGGTTAAAGTTCAGCGCTTACCGCTTCAGCGGCCCGGGTTTGCTTCCTGGTCGTGGAACCACACCACCCATCTGTCAGTAGCCATGCTGTGGCAGCGGCTCACATAGAAGAACTAGAAGGACTTACAACTAGAATATACAATCATGCACTGGGGCTTTGGGGAGGGGAGAAAAAAGAAGATTGGCAACAGATGTTAGGTCAGGACGAGTCTTTCCCTGTAAAAACAAACAAACAAAAAAAACCCCTAAAAACAAAAAACTAACAAAAAAAAAAACCTTTATAAAAACCACAAAATATGTTCAGAATTGACCACTCCTCACTGCCTTCCACAGCCACCACAATCATTTAAGCCGCCATTATCTCTTGTCTGGATTACTGCAAAAGACTGCTAACTGCTCTTGCCACTTTGGCCTTGCCCCTACATTCTGCTTGCAATATATCAGCCAGAGTGATCTTTAGAAAATATGACTTAGGTCCCATAACTGCTCTGTACAGTATGCTCCAGTGGCTCTTAGTTGTCCTCAGTATGAAAGTCAAAGGCCCTACATGATCTCATTCTCTGACCTCAGCTCCTACTCAGAGTATTAGGGAATACTTTTCTTTGAGGCTCCATGCTAAAGGAAAGTTTCGTATAAAACATCTTTAGTTGATTGAGTTTTAGTTCTTCTCCCAAAACACACACAAATAAAAGCCATAATGGTCCTGCGTTTTGGCTACAAATATTTTCATAAACAGATCATGTCCTTTCAAGGAGTTCAAGTGATGAGTGAGCCAAAAGTCAAAGGATGAGCAGTGGTAGGGGGCAGCATATTGGAGTTGTATCACAGAATCCTTGGCCAAAGAAAATGTATGCAAAAGAATTACCAAATTCTCTTTCCCCTCTTCTGATTACTCTGTTTATTCTACTTTGTTTAGATTGATGAGTCTATGTGACTTCATCTTGTTACATTTAATTTACTGCTGCTAATTTTTATTATTTATAAATATGAGCTATTATTTTTTCTAATATTTTGAGGAACAAAGAGAAGAGCCTTTTGAGTGATTATGAGTATGTTTTTTTCCTACTTCCATTATCACTGAGTATTCTTATAATTAATTATCCTTCCTTCGTCCTTGCAATAGTGTCTTGTGCACCTCACTTGCTGGGTGGAGAAGCGTGTTGAGTTGGAGGTCCTGAGAGAAGGGCAGGAGCCTGGAGCAGAGAGCTTGGAACAACACCTTAGTGACCACCTCTGTCTTTTTCTTCAAAAAGCATGTTACATAACCAGTTTATATTTAGCCTTAAAAATTGGCAGAATGTGGTCAAATTTGGAATAGGTAGCATTGAGGTATTACACCAAGAAGTATTTTGTTTATTAGGTCATTATAGTAATTCTCTTGAAATTATTGGGTCTTAACAGCCAAAACTCTATTATGGTTAAGGATAAATTTATGCCAATGTCCATAATTACAAAATAGTAGTCAAATAGATTTGTTATTTTTGACCTATAGTTTTATGGTGCAGGATAATTTGTTTTTTTCAAAATGAAAATGGGCTTATTTTTTTCTGATTATAAATTGAAAACAATTCAGATGATACAGAAAAGTCTAAAGAAAAAGCAAAAATCATAATCTCTCTCCCCAGAGATAGCTGTTCTTAATACTTCAGTGTATTGTTACTAGACTGTTTTCTATGCTGTTTTATACAAATAAAGACCTAAAGTCAGATTATAACTCTACATATTATTTTATAACTTCCTTTCCACTTAACAATGTATCATGAGCATATTTCCATGACAACATATATGGATCTAAATAACCCCTTTTAATGGCTACATAATAAATGATAAAGACGCCTTTTATTTTTCCTAAAAAATATATTAGTAGACAAAATGAATCTAGGCTTGCCTTAAACATTTAAAAGACATGCAATTTAAGAACTATAAGGACATTTTATTTTACTGACATATAGTATCAACCATGTTAAGTTAAAAAGACGTTCAAATATTCTTAACAAAATATAGCGATGATCTTAGTGAATAAACTAATTTGTTTCTGTGACAACTGCAGCAAATATTTGTTGAACACCTAGTAAGCGCCAGCACTGATTTAGGTGTTGGGGATACTTTGGTGAATTAGGTGTGTGAGATCTCTGCTTGCAAAGAGTTTACATTCTGGAGGGTTAGAAACAGATTATTAAACTAATAATAAATAAGAAAAATATCAGATATTGAAGCATACCTGATGTTATGTTTTCATGGTAGCATGTGAGCTGTCATTTTGGTCCTGAATTATGCAGATTGCATCTAATCTTATAATTGTATTTTCAGATTTGAAGACAGCGAAGGACAAATAAATTATGAGTCATTTTTCTATGCCCTGAACTGGAGAATAAATCCAGTTCCCGAATTGGAAGCAACATTGTACATTAAAGAGGTAAAATTAACACCTATTTTAAAAACCAGCTGCGTCTACCTTCCTTGCATTTTTTTTTTTTTTTTTTTGGTGAGGAAGATGGGCCCTGAGCTAACATCTGCCAATCCTCCTCTTTTTCCTGAGGAAGACTGGCCCTGGGCTAACATCAATGCCCATCTTCTTCCACTTTATATGGGGCGCTGCCACAGCGTGGCCTGCCAAGCGGTGCGTCGGTGCGTGCCCGGGATCTGAACCGGCGAAACCCGGGCCGCTGCAGTGGAGCGCGCACACTTAACTGCTTGCGCCACCGGGCTGTCCCCTTCCTTGCATTTTTAATATCCTTTATCTTAAAATTATTTTTCAATGTGAAATATTAACATCAGTGCTTTTGGAACGAGCGCTTACGTATTTCTGGGCATTTGTGTTAAAGGCTAATTCACTTTCCATGCTGAGCAAACATCTGCTCTATAAGAGCATGACTTTTCTTATGTAGCTGAATTTTTTTAAACCTTAGTTGCATCCAATTATATGGAAGATAGGATAATAGGTTACTGTTATAAATAGATATAAACACTGTTATCAAGGGATCCTGGTAACATCATCATGAGCCACAAGAGCAAATCTCAAATGGTGCATATGTCAAGAATCCCCAGTGTATCTGGAGCTGTGCACACAGGTTTGCCTTGGGTGAAACAATATAGTACGGGGATGCACATTTCGCAGTGCAGCCAAATTTAAAATAAAAATTCAGTCGAAAAATGCTTGGTTAGGGAAACAAAGTTCATGTGATCAGATGGTGCTCTCAACATTGTGGAATTGTCTGAATTCTCTAAGATCTCTTTGGACCAATTGTCTTTAAGGAGTGGGTGGGTGGGTGGCGGTTTGTTTATATTTTAACATGCTCCAGAAATTGATTTTCTTGGGAAAGTCCCTTGACAAAGCAAATGTCATGTGGTTGATACTCCCAGAAAGGAGGCGTTTATTTCTCCCGATCTCTACTGACCAGCTCATTCTGGCCTGAACTAGTCTAGTGCCCCTGGGGAGTTCCCTCAGGCATGCAGCTATTCTGGAGTGTCAGGCAAGTCTTAGAACTTCCAGTTGGTTGGGAGACAGTGGTGGCCTTTGGAGTCAAACAGAGCTGGGGTTGAATTGTGGCTCTGCCACTTACTTAGCCGAGTGACTTTGGGTCAGTTACTAAACTCGTTCATTTATAAATTTAATTCTCAGACAAATCATGAGGGGCCCACTGCTGATAGGGGAATCAATACACTCATGATTTGGAGTATGGCATGATACAGCCTGCGTGGAATGTAATGGGATGAGGAGGAAGCTGCTTATAAATCAGACTGGTGGTGGGAGAGGGACTGGAAGTCTTCTCAGGGGAAGTGATGCTTGAAATTTCAGTGCTGAAGAGTAAGAGTTAGCAAGGTAGGAAAATAGCGTGGTATGGAAAAGACAGTCCCAACAGAGACTCTGACATGGGACAGCATGGTGCTTGTGCAGAACCAGAAGAAATTGGTGTGGCTGGAATAAAGGCACAAAGAGAGAAGTGGAGAAGGACGAGGCTGGAGATATCTGCAAGGGTGAATATTGTCCTGCAAGGTCTGGAGACTATGGACACATTTCAAGGAAGAGAGTGACATGATCAAGTGTACCCTTTAAAGGGAGCTTGCTCTGGCTGGAGGATGGTGGGTATATTGGAGAGGGGGCATGGTGACAGGTAGACCCATTAGGAGGCTCTTGAGGTCCCATCGTCACCATAATAACAGCAAACACTTAAACCATTTAATATGTGCCAAGCACTGTTCAAAGACCTCAAAATCTACTAGCTCATTTAATCCTTATAGCAGCCCTATGAGGTAGGTACTTTTATGGTTCCCGTTTTAGACATGAGGAAGTTAGAGAAACAGCAAGTGTAGAGTCAGAATTTTAACTCGGGTCTGTTTTACTGCAAAGAAACAAGAAACAAACCTTTTTAATATAATTATTATTGAAGATATTGGACTTAACTAAAATCCAAGATACCATCACAAAAACAAATCAATACTGTGATTTGGTAACCTTTTAATTCTTATCCATGTAAATATTTAATTTTTACATATAAAAAGAAAAATAATAGATGGAGTTTATAGTCTACCTGTTCATGTAATGTCATAGTACTCTGTGTTGGATCTCATCCATTTGTCCCATTAGGACATTTCTCCAGCCCCCTCTACCCTGCTCTGAACCCCGGGCAGCTGACCTTTGGGGGCCATGTCAATGGGTCCCCTAGCCCTCTGGCCTCCAAGTGGGTTGGCCAGTGGGATGCACCAACAGGAGAGTGGAGGGTAGGAGGCGAGAGAAATCATCTCCCTCCTTTCCAGTCACAATAGATTTACTGCCTCTTCCTACCAAGGTCCACAGTGCCTGTCTGGAGGTTTTCTCCATAGCTGCCTACTCCAGGCTCTGGTAACCACCCTCACATGCCCCTTCAGCCCCAGGTGGTGGTAATGGCTCCCTGTTGCTACAACGTCTAAAGGACTGGAGGATCCCCTGTTGGTTTTCCTAAAGACTTCTCACAACTTTGTAAATACAAGCATACCTCACAGATATTGTGGGTTTGGTTCCAGATGACTGCAATAAAGTGAATATCGCAATAGAGCGAGTCACGTGACTGTTTTGGTTTCCCAGTGCATGTGAAAGTTACATTTACACTATACTCTAGTCTATTAAGTGTGCAATAGCATTATGTCTAAAAAAGCAATGTACATACCTTACTTAAAAAATACTTTATTGCTAAAAAATGCTAACCATCATCTGAGCCTTCAACAAGTCATAATCTTTTTGCTGGTGGAGGGTCTTTCCTCGATGTTGATGGCTGCTGACTGATCAGGGTGATGGTTGCTGAAGGCTGGGGTGGCTGTGGCAATTTCTTAAAATAAGACAACAATGAAGTTTGCCACATCGTTTGACTCTTCCTTTCACAGTCGATTTCTCTGTAGCGTGCAATGCTGTTTGACAGCATTTTACCCACAGTAGAACTTTCAAAATTGGAGTCAATCCTCTGAAACACTGCTGCTGCTTTATCAACTGAGTTTATGTAATATTCTAAATCCTTTGTTGTCATTTCAACAGTCTTCACAGCATCTTCACCAGGAGTAGATTCCGTCTCAAGAAACTTTCTTTGTTCATTTGTAAGAAGCAACTCCTCATCTGTTAAAGTTTTATCATGAGATTGCAGCAATTCAGTCACATCTTCAGTCTCTACGTTTAATTCTAGTTCTCTTGCTGTTTCTACCACATCTGCAGTTACTTCTTCCACAAAAGTCTTGAATCCCTCAGTCATCCGTGAGGGTTGGAATCAACTCCCTCCAACTCCTGTTAATGTTGATATTTTGGCCTCTTCCCATGAATCACGAATGTTCTTAATGGCATGTAGAATGGTGAATCCTTTCCAGAGGTTTTCAGTTTACTTTGCCCAGATCCATCAGAAGAGTTACTGTCTATGGCAGCTATAGCCTTATGAAGTGTATTTCTTAAATAAGAAGACTTGAAAGTGGAAATTACTCCTTGACCCATGGGCTGCAGAATGGATGCTATGTGAGCAGGCATGAAAACAACATTAATCTTGTTGCACATCTCCATCAGACCTCTTGGGTGACCAGGTGTACTGTCAATGAGTGGTAATATTTTGAAAGGAATCTTTTCTTCTGAGCAGTAGGTCTCAATAGTGGGCTTAAAATATTCAGTAAACCATGTTGTTGACAGATGTGCTGTCATCCAGGCTTTGTTCTTCCATTTACAGAGCACAGGCAGAGTAGATTTAGCATAATTCTTAAGGGCCCTAGGGTTTTTGGAATGATAAATGAGCATTGGTTTCAATTTACGGTCACCAGCTGCATTAGTCCCTAACAAGAGAGTCAGCCTATCCTTTGAAGCTTTGAAGCCAGGCATTGACTTCTCCTCTCTAGCTGTGAAAGTCCTAGGTGGCATCTTCTTCCAATAGAAGGCTATTTTGTCTACATCGAAAATCTGTTTAGTGTAGCCACCTTCATTACTTATCTTAGCAGGATCTTCTGTATAACTTGCTGCAGCTTCTACATCAGCACTTGCTGCTTCACCTTGCACTTTTATGTTATGGAGACGGCTTCTTCCTTAAACCTCATGAACCAACTTCTGCTAGCTTCAGACTTTTCTTCTGCAGCGTTCTCACCTCTCTCAGCCTTTATAGAGTAGAAGAGAGTTAGGGCCTCCTCTGGATTAGGCTTTGGCTTAAGGGAATGTTGTGGCTGGTTTGATCTTTCTGTCCAGACCAGTAAAACTTTCTCCATATCAGCAATAAGGCTGTTTTGCCTTCTTGTCGTTCGTGTGTTCACTGGAGTAGCACTTTTAATTTCCTTCAAGAACTTTTCCTTTGTGTTCACAACTTGGCTGTTTGACGCAAGAGGCCTAGCTTTTGGCCTGTCTCGGCTTTCAACATGCCTTCCTCACTAAGCTTAATTATTTCTGGCTTTTGATTTAAAGTGAGAGATGTACAACCCTCCCTTTCACTTGAACACTTAGAGGCCATTGTAGGGTTATTAATTGGCCTAATTTCAATATCGTTGTGTCTCAGGGAATAGGGAGGCCTGAGGAGAGGGAGAGAGACGGGGGAATGGCCGGTGGAGCAGTCAGAACACATACAACATTTATCAATTAAGTTTACTGTCTGATATGGATGTAGTTTGTGGCCCTCCAAAACAATTAAAATAGTAACATTAAAGATCACTTATCACAGATCACCATAACAAATATAATAATAATGAAAAAGTTTGAAATATTGCGAGAATTACCAAAATCGTGACAGAGACACGAAGTGAGCAAATGCTGTTGGAAAAATGGCGCCGATAGACTTGCTTGATGCAGGGCTGCCACAAACCTTCAATTTGTAAAAAATGCAATTATCTGTGAAGCACAGTAAAGCAAGATGCAGTAAAACGAAGTCTGCCTGCCGGTAGTCACTTTATTAAACTCTTCTCAACTTACACAGTTTGCATATGTCC